GTGATTTATAAAGATATTATATCATTCTAAGAGAAGAGTCAGTGGTCACCGGATATGGTCGCATACAGTGTGGTCCATGGTAACTTAGCACGCCTGTACTTTCTCCTTGCAATTTAGTGACAAGGGATTATCTTGATGAGATCTATGTCTTATAGAAAAAAAAAAGTTAATATACCTTTTCACTTTTTGAGGTACACATAACACTCGGATTTAAATCCGAGGTTTTCGCATTTATTTAGATTTTCTTCTGGTTTCGCATGATTCGTGAATTTTCTTTTAATTATGTCTTTTAGATACATTATGCATCAGTGAAATGGGATAGATGAAATAGAGAAACGAAAGCAAAGAACAGACGTGTCATCCGATTTGATAAATGCAACAACGAATAAGGAAAGTTGCTTTCCTTGTTGTTAATTATATAATAAAAGTAAAGAACTGTATAATTTAACCGTGGCAAATGAATCATACTGTATGAACTCATACGTTTTAGATAAAAAGAAAGAACATTTGATGTATTTATCTTTATGACAAGGTCTTCATTCCAAGAAGATGAAATTTGTGTAATGCCAATCTTATCAAAATAAAATATTTCACCACAAGCTGAATATAATACTTCATCACCACTATCATCTCTTACAGTGCCTAAACGTTGTCCATCAAAATTTGAAAAAGAATGGTTATCTGATCCACAACATTTTTCATTTTTAAATGAATGCAAAAGTGATGCAACAAAAGCATTATGTATTACATGTAATATTCAATTTTTAATTTAAAATAGTGGTATAGCTGACGTAAATAATCATATAAAAACAAAAAGATATCAAGAATGTCGTAAATCTATTGACTGAAACAAATGTAATATTTTCTTTACACTTTTAAGAAAAAAATCTTCATATTAAGTTATATTTCTTCTCTATAGCAAAAGCAATAGATGTAATATTTAATTCAACTACATCAGAGCTTAACAGAGTATCTGTTGTTGAAGGAGCTTTTGGGTTCCATGCTGTAACACATTCTCATAGTTATCTATTACAATCATGCGCCATCAAATTGGCAAAAAATGTTTTTCAGATTCTGTTTTAGCAAAAAATACTACCTGTAGTAAAACAAAAGTAGGACTTTTTTGTGTTTCTATAGAATATTATATTTGTATTCAGGCTCGTGAAATAGCTTCCAATGTATTATCACCAGCATTTACAAAGTGTTTAGTTGAAGAACTTCAAATTGTTGATTATTTTTCAATTTGTTCTGATGCGTCAAATAAAATAAATGAAAAAAATATTGCCTATAGTAGCTCAATACTTTTCTGATGTTGGTGTTAAGCATGGAATTCTTGAATTTATTGAACAGCAAGATGACTCAGCTAGTTGATTATTTGCTAATATTAAATATGAATTGGAACCTCAAGAATTAGAATTACAAAAGCTTACTTCACTTGGATCTGATAATACAAATGTAAATGTTGATCCTAAACATAGTGTTTTTTCTTTATTTAAAGAATTAATACCACTTTTGGTACAAGGTACTACCGCTTATATCTTCAGAATTCATAAAGATTTTCTGTATTATTTCACTTTTAGGTAATTGCTACTGTCACATCCTTCACAACTCAGTTAAACACGGACATGATCATTTATTATTTGATACACAAGCTGCTATTTTAAAAAAATTATTCACATTTTTGTCGGTTATCTATTCGTTCACAGGAATTAACCAAATACTTCGATCTTGTCGATCAAGAACAGAAGGTAATCAAATATATGCAATCTGATCAATCTGTTATAACTATAAGACCTCTTCACAATTTTATCTAATCTTATATTTGCATCCTTCATTCAGTTTATACTTCAACATATTTGTACACGTTGGCTCAGCTTATTATTATCTATCGAACGTTTAATTAGTATTTATCCAGTAGTAAAATGTTATTTTTCGAATCTCAAAGATGAACCATGTCCGAAAGTATTACTCGTTTCTTTTACGTCTCATAAAGGTACTCAATTTATGATATTATGAGTATGCTTCGATTTCTGAATTTTTGTATAGTGTCGACATTTTTTCCATTTGACATTTTTCTATTCAACATTTTTCTCTCCTATATTATTCATGACAAGCGAATTCTTTTTTTAATTTGTTTATATTTAATCAAAATTGTTTTGACGACAATTATATAATATTCAAGTCATATCTCATATCGATTAAGTTCATTAAATATCTAAAACGATCAAAACTCTGTAGGTTCTTTTCCAATAATTGTTTCTGCTGGATTCGATGTCTCGTTGGACTGACTTGTTGTTTTGCTATTGAAAAGTGGTAAATAACTCTTTGTGAACAAAGATGGTGATTTTATAGTGTCAACATTTAAAGCTGTATTTGTACCATCTGAAAAGAAATTATTTATATCGATTATAATAATTTTTCATTAGTTAATGTTAAAATTATATCCATTTTAAAACAGAGGAAATCAAGATTATGTATTTATATAGAGTTGTTTTAATACAATGAAATATTATAAATAATTGAATCAAAGAAGAGTTCTTTAAAAAAATTATGAAAAATTGGAAATAAGTTTCAAACAGTCAAGTGGTTCTATTAAATAAAAAGAGCAAGCGAAGAATTTTCTTACCATTAGTAGGTTGAGAGTATTGACGTTCAATTTGATTTATAATTCCAGACTTCATATGAAATGTACATTGAGCACGAGAAGAAATTAATTTTTGGTTTTCTACCAAATCAAGTCAATTAATTTCATTAATATCAGAACAGTCGGTTTGAACATGTAGACATTTAAGAAGATTACGTGAGGCAGACAAGCAGTATTCTTCGTTTGGTGATATTTGTATTGTTGCTTTGTATGAGTGTATTAATGTGTTGTTATTAGTATCGCAAGTGTCTGGTTCCAACTGATTAAAAAGACCATCAATTTTTTTGAATGAAGCATATAAGGTTGTAGAATCAAACGATGCGTTACATAATTCTGGTATGATTTCCAATCCGTATTGAAAATAAAATACAGTGCAAATGAAAATGAAATGTTTTAGCCATTTTTTTAATCGATAGTTGTAGATTAATAACTTACGTTGTTTCGGCGATAGTAGATAAAGAAATCATATCCTTGAATAATCTTGTTTTGATTGCATTGATCTTGTATGATTGATCAAGTTCGATTGAATTGAAGTGTATATCATGTATATTTAATGCAATAGTGAAAGTTTGATCTGCAATTATTGCTTCTTTTCGTAATTTTTGGATTCGTTTATAACCTGATGTAATCACATATGGTTGAGGTTCACCAATTTGAAAAACTTTACATTCGACTGAACATATTCTTTCTTCAGCTAATGTTTTCAAATTTACAATATGTTCAGTAGCACGCCATTGTGGTTCATATGTTAAATTTTTTTCAATTAATTGAGTATCGTTTGTAATCATATAAGATCTGCCAATGAATTCGATACACGATAACTCAATTCCTTCTTGATTAATATGATGCGTTGTTAAGAGTGAATGTAATCGACATGTATTGCTTTGTAACAAGTATCGTAGGACTGTTATGATTGTATCATTAGGACCCTCCATTGTTAATTTATAATGAAAATTCGAATTGTTTTCATTTTTAGTTATGCTGGTCACACCAATAACATAGCCTTGTGGTGAAATAAAATTTGATTCATTCGTTGTTGTTAACGCTGAGTTATGGCGTTTCATTAGAATTTATCCATAGGATGTTGTTAGAAAAAAAGGTGCTGAAAAAATTTATTTTGAAAAATTAGAAGCGTGAAATAAAGAATGATGAATGAAGAAAATTTTTGCCAAAAGCTAATACAAGATAATTGCGGGCTTTTTCATAAATTGATATATCTGTAAATTACAATAGTATTTATTGAATTATTTTTCAACAATTGGCTATATTCAGTCGATTTTTTTCAACAAATTCTTTTCCAATAGAAAGAACAATTGAAAGTAACAATGCAAAATCATCAAGGTGTAGAAGTAATGCGAGTATGTCTTTATATGAGAAGCATGATGTGGTAGATGGTGAAATTCAAGATAACGGACCTGGTCGATGTCATAAAATCATTAGAGCTAACTGTCGGATAATTAAAAGAATAGGATTGAAAAAAGTAAATGAGACATATTCATGATCATGTTAGAATTTTGTTCTGTATGATCTAGTTATCCTACTCAGATCATGCCCGATTTTTGACAGAAGAGGTAATAGAATCTTACAAAACTTCGATGGTAAATGAACTCATAGAAAATGAATGTATTACCAACACATTTGATTTTAAGCATGGTTTTATTGAAACTAATGATCGGAATAATGAATCATCTGAATATACAAAATCATTTGTTCATGAATTGGTGGATGATAATAATGCAAAAAGTATTGGCAATCAATTAGAACGGAATAACATATTGGGAACAATGAGAAATTGTGGTTCACTATATGCAGCTAAACGAACTTCGGAACGTAATAATCGAAGACGACAAAAACGCGCTTTACAAAAAGGTATGCATACATCAAATTATAAAACATCATCAACAACTGTCCTTTGTAAGAATAAAAGTTCACTGAAGTATTTCGATAACAATTAGTGTGTATGATATTCTCAGTTAATCTGTTATTACTGTTGTTGATTGACAAGAAAACACAATTTTGTTTTAACAAAAGTATAGCATTTTTGTATATACAATATATACAGGCAGTTAAATCATAGAAAGAGCCAAATCAAATATGTCGTTAATTTTAGATCTCTATGTTTATGAAATACATATACTGTATAATTAACAATGTTTTTTCGGTAAAAGAAATAAAAAAAAAGTTGTTGAGTAGATTTGTTGTTTATATTGATAAATTAATCAGTTAGAAGTTGACAAATTGAACGTTGCATATTTACTAATGGTGATGTATAAAAAAAGGTTTTAATGGCTTTGGTTGACAGATGACTACAGTTTCTTTTTATTTGATTTAAAATAAAATACGTTTTTTAAATCATATTCATCAATATTATTAAAATAGAATCTTATACAGATATTGATGTATTTATGAAAGAAAATGTAAGTTATGCATAAATTTTGAACGTCTGTCATTGTGATGTAGAGAACAAAGGAAATCTATTTCGAAATTTCTAGCATCGAATCTCAATCAGAGTTTACTTGTAACATTTTGTTTCGAAAACCGTTTGATTTCTAAAAATGTATTAGGTTGGCCAAATAGTTCTGCAACACTTGCGAAAAAGTTGATTTTTATGCATATCTTTGTAGCTTTCTTCTGCGCTCTATGCAGTTTATTCCTCTTTTTATTTTATATCGTTCCAGTTTTTCCTTTATGCTCAAAGTTTCAGATGACATTGGAGAAAATACAGCTTCGAGTCTTGATACGCTATTGCTGGAAGCGACGACTTTCGACCAGAGATGCTGCGAAAGAGATTTGTGACGCTGAATGCGAAGGAACCGTCCACTACACAACTGTTTCACGATGGTACAAACGATTCGATTCCGGTGACCTTAACCTCGAAGATCAACCTCGTTCCGGTCGGCCATCAACGTTGGACAATGCAGATCTGCAGGCAGCCTTGGAAGATGAACCTTCATCGAGCAGCCGTGAATTGGCGTCGATTCTTGGTGTTTCGTCCAATCAGACTGTGCTCAATCATCTGTATCGAATGGATTTTGTGCACAAGAAACCTCGCCAGGGTCCATACGAGTTAACCGAAGCGCAAGCCAAGCATCGTGTTGAAGTCTGCCGTCAATTGTTGGAAAATCCATTGGATGATCGGTTTTGGAAGCGTATTGTAACTTCGGACGAAAAAGGGGTCTACTTAATCAATCACAACCGACAGAAGCAATGGGTCCCGCGAGGTCAAAATCGTTTTGGCAAGAAGGTGATGATTTGCGCATGGTGAAACTTTGAGGGCGTGCTTCACTTTGAACTGGTTCCAAATGACCGTGCCGTGAATGCTGAGCTCTACTGCCAATAACTGGACCGTGTCTATGACAAGCTGATGGAGAAGTACCCGACCCTCGTTCACCGCAAGCGTTCTTTGTTCCAGCAAGACAACGCTAAACCCCACATCGCCAATAAAACAATGGAGAAATTTGACGAGCTAGAACAAACCGAGGTCTTGCCGCACCCAGCCTACAGTCCCGACGCTGCGCCATCCGATTACGGCCTCTTTCGATCAATGAAGCACTTCTTCCGTAACCGCCGATTCGAGTCATTTGATCAAGTTGAGGAAGCGTGCCAGGAGTTTTTCGATTCTAAGCCCTCACAATGGTACTTCAATCAAATCCGAATGCTTGCAGATCGGTGGCAAAAGATTGCCGAAAACGATGGACTTTATTTTGAAGAGTAGTTGTTATTGTTTTTAAAAAACTTCTGCATAAAAAAAAACTTTGTTGAAAATGTTGCAGAACTTCTTGGCCAACCTAGTAATAAAACTTGTATGCCTCACTTCTTGAAATAAAAACTGCTTAGCTATACATCTTACAACCAGTCAGAAACATTCGATCGTATCAATACTTCAGACTACATACTAACATTTCAAAGTACATAATATCATAGTTTGCAAGGATAAATGAACTGCCCTGTACCCATAAATGTTTAGAAAACGTATACAATTCTTCATCAGATACACTTTCGAAACCTTCGTTCAACCCTTATAAAAAAAAATTTTTTTCAAAAAAAGTCTCTCTCCCTAAAATAAAAAGCAAAAAGGAAAATTTCAAAAAACTGACAACGCCGTCGTGTTCCCCGACCCAGATTAACCTTCGGCCAACCCTATCCCTATAGATATTGTTTGAGGTTAGTTAAGTTTATGCATCTGCTTTCCTATTGAACGAACGAGCGAACGGACAGACGCACAGGAACGAACGCATTTAACTCACTTTTCGTAATACCCTCCTTTCAGTAGAGGGAACTTCAAACAACACAAAAGCGTTCATATATAATTTAAAACTTGATTATTCAATAATAAGTAAGGTTTGCAGCATTATAACCAAACAAGACTAGGTTGCCCATCAGATTTTGGCAAGATACGTGGTCTTCTATAGCCTGAATCTAGAGTTGACGCAAGGTTATCTAGTCTCTTAAATAGTTCAGTTGTTCCAAGCTGGATGATTGATATTTTTTGACGGATGCAAATATATAAAATCAAGTTGCAAACTGCTAATATTGTTATACACACGAGGTATGTGAACTTATGAAACAGTGTTAATATTAACAGTCAATACATTCGTATTCAACGGGACGAGCTAATGTAAGATTTCAGGAGCTGATCAATAATTTGATTCCTTTTTTCAAGATTTTCATTAAAGGAAACTTCCTCTTCAATAGTTAGAACTCGTATCATCAAAAAAAGATTATATTTAACTAATTATGAATTCAACATACGAGACATCGTTTTCCTTTTCTCTATGAGTTTGCAAATAGTTGACAGCAATATTTTTCTTTTTATATTTCACCACTTCTAATAGAGAGTACCACATTGACTAGTGATCCACAACAGATTAGGTTACATTTTAGATTTAATATTTTACCAGTTATCTTGCATACGAGTGAGCCATCTTGAAAGAGCACCTGCTATATCTACCATACTTTCAACGAGTCTACCAGTCTGCTGACCAATCTTACGCAGTAGCGTTTCTTCTCCTATTCTTCTTGGACCGAGACCCATGTGAACGATATTGTTTGATCCTTGGACATCAGGGTTATTTTCAGAGCCATCAAAATTAAAAATTCGCCTTTTTGATCTTGTAAAATCCGTTGAATTAATTAAACTGGGTATCATGGTAAGCTTCAAAAGAATATAGGCGACTATGTTGTGATAATCAAGACGAAAATGCCAGGCACAACTAAGTGAGGGATATCTATATTTATAGGGAGCAATTTTCGTAGGCTAAGATCATCATCTGTCTTTTTTCATAAACAAAATAAATCAATATCATCATTAGAGATCTGCATCATTTCTTTTCATGTTTTCGCAGCGGTACCACTTGAGACTGTAGTCTAAACTTGTTATAAGTGTCAACAAAGTAAATTATTTTGTTTTCGTTCGTCTACAGATAGTATTTTTGACACTATCTATGAAGATAAAGCACTACTAATAAAAAAAATTTATAGTAAAAATGTAGAATCAACCATATTGTTTCTTTCAAAACTCAAATAAATTTTTCGTTTGAGCTTTCATCAACTAATGATTAACATCATTAAGTGTTGCAAAACATATACTCGACTGTAGACCGTTTTAGCCAATTGAAAAAGAGAAAATAGGTTTTTCAAATCAACTCTAATGTAAAGATATATCTTTTGAAAATCATTTCAACTGCTTTAGTAGAAAAAAATCAATTAAATCAATCCTAACAGTTGTACTTTTTCCAATTGCAATAATCAAATAGAAATTTTATTTCATATGTGTCTTATGATAGAGAATCATATTATGTTTTTCTTCAATTTATATCTAAACTTTGCAGACTCTTTTCTTCTAAATTCAGAATAAACCACTCTGAGTCATCATTACTTAATCATCATAATAATTATTATAATTTGTGATCATTTTTATTGAAGAATGTATGCATCATTTTATCATAAGATTTAGCCTCTTTGCTACATGCGAGCTATTCTTATTTTTATCTCTCTCATATGTCATTTTTATTTCATTACTCAATCTTCATTTCATTCAGCCAATACTCAAATAATTTATTGACAGTTTTCATCACTAGATAAGATTTTCTGCATGATACATATTTATACACTTAATCAATCGTTTTGTTTCATCAACGAATAATAATAAAAATAATAATACTAAAAAAACAGAAAAATTCATTTAAGGCATTGAATCAACGTCGATCTCATATGCGATATGACAAAATGAATCAATACAATAACAATCGATTTGCTAATGGTCAATTTAATTTTAACAACGAAGGTGATCTCTACTATCTTTGTTGCTATGAACAACAATTCTATTGTCGAAGTAAAATAATCTCTGTTTTCGTTATTAATTACTGAGTGCATATGTGAAAAACACCAAGAAGTTCACTGAAAATTCAAGCAATCTTTTATCCTAATAGATACTGGTCGGCAGAAGCGAAAAAGAATTAGCTGATGAACCGCTTCTTTTTTAAGTACTTTGAATAATTATATTTGAAAATATCTAGAATATTCTTTAGATTTTCAACTGCCTTACTTTCAGAAAGAAAACAACAGTAGAAAGATAGGAGAAGTCATGTTTCTCCGTTTTCATCTTAAATGAATCCTATTCCTCGAAACTAAAATTATTTTAATTATCGTTTTCGTTGTTACTTCATAAAATAAATGAAAATAAAACGCATTTTTATTTCAAATAAATGATTTTGAATTTTATAGCAATATCAAATCATACGCCGAATAATTTGCAAATCATTCTAGATATCAACACATCATGTAGAATATTTCAATAAGATTCAAATTAATAACAGATTAAATAATTTAAATAGAAAAAGGTTGAAGTAGTATTATTTCTTTTTTTTCTGAGATAAACTTGACAAAGTAGCATTTCAAGCATGAGATAAGTCAGAGGAGAAATATGTTCATAAGAACAATTCAAAAGAGATGAATCATAGAAACACTGGGAAGAAAAAGCTCATTTAAATAGTGTGTGGAGCAGCAAAGAGATAGAACAAAGTAGAATCACAAAAATATTCATAGTATTGAAATGATTATCATTTAAAATAAAATATTCTAACATAATGTCTACAGATGACTTTTACGTTAGATTAGTAAAAAATTGAATCTATTTATTTTACGATGATGAACTAAAGATAATATTCTATAACTTATTTTGTAAATTTTTCGTTCCATTGAATTATTTCCATTCTATTCTTTATTTTGTATCTTTCACAGTTAATATTTATTTATGGATACGTAACAAATGATTAAGTACAGTCAAAACTGTATTTTAATCAGAAAAATCAGGGAAAAAATGAAAATGAAATATTTTCTCAATTCTAAATGGCAATCTGTTTGAGATTTTTTCGCTTCAACAATAAAATGAAATTTATATATCGATCTAGACAAATTGAATTTTCTTTTAGAAATGCAATCAAACAACAACAATGATATTTTCTTTTCTTTTTTTGTTTGTAATTATACATATAATATTTAAACGAGTCTTTTCTGTATACCCATAAATTCATAAAAATATATAGGGTGAATTCTAGCGAGATAACAATTCTTTCTAATAACATAAGAATCGAATCAAAATTTTCCAGATGAGTGAAAATTTTATTTTGAACGAAAGAGTACTCAATAAATTCAACAGTAAACTATATAATATGTAAAGAAGAGATTTCATTCTAATTCAATGGACTCGATTTGACAACAAAATTCGTCAAATCAATCTCAAGAGAAGATTAACCGAAATGTAAAATTACTCTTGAAGGAATTCAAGTGATTTTTACGAAGATTATATAAATAGAGGGTGTCCCAGAAGTTCCCGCAGAAAATTTACTTAAATATCTCTCATACAATCGAAGCGATTTAATCGCTTTTTTTTATAAAATGATAGTATATTCTTTTAAGTTTTATTTCATATAATTTGGTTTACAACAAATGTTCAAAATGATTACCATCAACTGAAATACATAAATCCATTCTTTTTACAATACTTGAAAAAACATCACTCAAAGTTTCTTTAGAAATTGATTTGATTTCGATGTTGATTCATCTTTTTAATTCCGCCAGATTTTTGACAGGAGTTTTGTAGACGTTGCTTCTGACATGACCCCATAAAAAGAAATCAAGAGGGGTCAAATCCGGTGAGCATGGAGCCCATCGAATTGGACCACCGCTTCCGATCCACCTGCTAGGAAAATGATTGTCGAGATACTGTCGTATGTCGTTTGAGAAATGAGCAGGAGTTCCATCTTGCTGAAATATGATAGACCGAACCTTGTGCAATTTCCTCACCTCCCAAAGAAAAACGTTTTGAAGCATTGACAGTTAATTATTCCCATTAACAGTATCATCTTCAAAGAAATATGGCCCTACTAATTAATTTTTTGACATAGCACACAAAACGTTGAGTTTAGGAAATTTCATAATTGTTTCAATAGTAACATGTGGATTCGTTTCAGACCAATATCTGACATTATGTTTATTGACTAATCCATTTAAATAAAAGGTTGCTTCGTCTGACAAGAATAAATTTTGTTGAATATGATTATCTTCTAGCATTGGTATCAGAGTTTTACACATCTCAACCCTGTCTTGCATATCTTCTTCATAAAGTTCTTGTACAAATTGCACCTTGTACGGTTTCAATGACAGATGTTCAGTCATAATTTGATGTGCTGTTGTTCGTGAAATAGAGCAGGCTGTTGCAACAGATCGAACGCTCGATTGTGGTTCATTTTCAATAACTTCAGCAACTTCGTCAATCTTTTCTTCGGTACTTTATGATGGTCTTCCAGAACGTTCTCGATCTTCAACTGTACCAGTTTCGCAAAAGCGTTGAAATGTTTCTCTAATAGTGGTTTCACCAGGCGTGTTTTTACCAAACTCGGCCCATAATTTTCGTTTCACAACCGTAGATGATTCAAATTTAGCCATTAACAAAACTATTTTTATTCTAATGTTTGTAGGCACAGACATTTATCTGAAAGTATACAAAAGAAAACTTAAAAGAATATACTACAACTACAATATTATAAAAAAGGAAATATGAATCACTTGAATTGTATAAGAGATATCTAAGTAAACTTTCCGCGTGGGCTTTTGGGGCACCCTGTAATCTATATTCACGTACGCTATTCGACGGCATGACAATGGTACATGAACAAAAGTTGATAAGCTTTCATTCTATTTTCTATTTCATTTCATAAACTTTTGTATCCTATTCATATTAAACTAATTAAAATGATCTACATACTACAATAATATGATTTCTGATGATTCTACTTGAATAAGATGCACTTATATTAAGAGCACAAATGAATACCGTAAAAATATTACTAGAAAAATTATCATTGATAGTTTCATCTACATCAATTAAGCTTGATAAAATGCTTGAAAACTAAAGTATGATGAAAACAGAATCAGAAAAGCAAACAGTTGGTTGAAAATAAAACATTTCGTTGTTGTTAGTTCAAAAAAATAAGGACAAACACAGGAACGACATGGATGATTATACCAAAAATAAACATAATACACTTAGACATACAACACAATAGATATTCCTATTCGAAATGTTTATGTAGAATAGGAAAGGTTGTACAGAATATAGGGTTGGGCAAAGAATACTTTGACCGCCATAAATTGAATGAATTCCGTTTGTAATATGAAAACTATGGCATAAAACATCAATGATCTTCTTCTATTTGAGAAAAAAAGATGAATTTTTAAAAACTCGCTTCGTTGACCAGATCACTTCTATCGTGTTACTAAGCACGAGTTGAATTATTATCATAAATAGAACTTCTTCTGCGAACTTTAAGGTATTATACTGTAGTTTTTAAACAAAAAATGACTCAATATTTTAACACAATGTCATTTTATAGGTATATTTCTTGAACTAAATTCTTCAAATCGATTTCATTCAAACGAGAAATATCGTATCAAAATTTAAATCATGTCAAATGCCTAGAGTCATGTGTTTTGTCTATGTAGTATTAATTTGACCACAATAAAGCTGAAGTAATTACTATTTGATTGTGAAAACTTTCTACTCATTTGAATAATCAAACCAATCAGCTATCATTTTTTTCCTCAAAACGTAAAAGAAATGCTATTCATTTAATCGTACGTATGAGCATCCAATCGTTATCAGTTTATTAACAAATCAAATCATTGTCCTATGTCGTAAACATAACGATTTATTTTTTGTGTACACTTGGCTTACTCTTTTGATTACAAATATCACATTAGTCTAACTTAATGAATAAGAATGAAATAAATCATTCAATCTATGATGATCATTCGTATCTTTTCTATTGATGTAACGAATTGTTATTGAGGATTTGTCTAGTGAGTCGCCTTTTTTGGTGTCGTAGTTCGCAATATTATGATTATAGTGTAGCAAGTACTACTGAATAGAAAAATAACATCAATGACTCCTCGTATGGACTTCTCAAGAGAAATTCATACAAATATCATGAAATAATAGTATATGATTAATATCTATTTTTAGTGCATCATTAAAACAATCAGTAATAATCATTGGTGCGTGAGCAACACTAAGTAACGTTTACTAGTTTGTATAACTTTATGCTCGATGCATGCAATTAGATAGAGTAATACATAATCATATAATAGTTGATGTCAGTCTTTATCTACGTCTTTTTTTACATTGAAAAGAATTCATCAAATATTTATGAATACTATATACTGTATTATATTTAATTGCAATATAAAAGTTATGGCAGATATAATAACATCTATGTGCTGGTTGAACTTACTTCTTTAATATTGTGATGAATTTTATTTGTCTTGATACAAGAATATAGAAATTTAATACCAAACAAAAAACAAGAGTCTATTTACTATAGTACTATTTTTGTTGTTGTTGTTCAGATGAAATGCTTTTAGAATATTGTAGAAGAATTCTAACAAACACAAAATGTAAAAACTAAATAATAAATGAAATTAGAATGTTGATAGGTGAAATAAAAAGCAATATAACTTTTTTTTATAAATAATTAGAGATATAAAAAAACAAGCCGAATATTTATGTCGCTTATAATCAGACATATATATTCATTCATAAGAGGTAGATTATACCGTTTATTCCAATATGAAACAAAATTTTAAGAAATCTTTTGGAAAAGCAAAACCGATTTCTTTTCTTCTCCAGATTATATGATAGCTTATTTTAGTTTCTTCTTTGTGAGAATTATTTTTCGCTTAAATATCGCATCTAGTGATCACTAAAATACAATGATATCAATTTATCTCATTTTTGTTAATACCGATCATTGTCATTTTATTTGATACCAGTGCTATTGAAATTCATCAATGAGCTCATAAATCTAATTATATTTTCTGATCGGATGACGTTCAACTGAAATACTCCAATTAAACTAGATGTTCTTTTTTTAGATGCTATGCAGAGAAATATAGAAAATTCACATGAGAGATAATAGATGCTTTTTTAAACTGTGAACAGTTTTTCATAAAACAGCTTCACTCAAAAGAAATTTCGTTATCTGATTCTCTTTAGTTAGTCGCCCCTGAAAAAAAGACCCTTTTTATCACAGAGACTATAAAAGGATTCATTCTCTTCAATATTCATTGAAAGATTTCCTAGATGAAATATAATAAAACACATTTGTTATTCCTACGTTTTTTTTCTTCGATTCAAACAACAGTATGTGTCGTGTTAATCAGTGAATTTCTGCTCTCTTTAATATCTCTTACTTGTTCATGTACAGGTGTTATATCATCTTTTACACTTAGCTATATTTTAATATGGTACAAAGACAAAAACTATCATTAAATTTCAACTAAAGTGATAATTTTAACAATGCACAGTTCTGTTGTTAAAACATTGTATTTTTATAAAAGAAAAACTTAAAGTATTCTGATATTTTCATCTTTTTGATATTCAGATTATTTGTTCAATCATATCATTTGAAAAAAAGCTTCTCTTTCGATCTGAATACATGTGTTGAACATTACCAGTAAATTAGAATAAATTATTCTTGATGGTATTTCTTAATCGATTTCGAACAAAACTGATAGGAGATTGCTGCATTGATGGCAAATTAGATGAATAAAAGATTCAAAATATTTCTTTTAGTACTAGATTAGATTTTTAACATTTCGTTAAAGTCTAATATCTTATTTATAAATGTTCGTTTTTAGCTGCATAAACGTGTTCTATGTTTGTTAATAACGATGGTCTATATTGATTCTAGTTTTAACATAAAAAGTCTACAATAAAATTGTCATCATTATCATCATCGACATCATTCAAACAATTAGATTTTTTATTCCTCTAAGATTATAGCTATGTATGTTGCTGTATATGAACAAAGCTTATCATACATATGTATCAGAACGGAACAATTATTCAGAGGAAGAGAACAACACAGCGAACAAACTATCATTTCTACGTTCATTGGGAAATTGTTTATTTTAAATTTTTACCCACTTTGGGAACTGATCATTAAAAGATAATTAGTACTTCTTGTTCAGTTTTTTACTCTTAATCATAAAATTCAGATCTTTTACATGAGATTAAAATTTCGAACAAATGAACGTATAGCAAATTTGAAAGAAATATTTGCATAATTAACTTTTTTTTACATCATGCACAACGAAAATCTGAAAGAGAGCATTTTTTTCTACATCAACTACACCATATGAATTTATTCTGGCATATTGTTAAATTTATTATATAAAATTATTATCGTGTGAAAGTGCAAAAGATGATTGTGCATCATTGATTCAGTGATATCTATTTCTCCTGTACCCACTGTGAATGTATAATTATATTTGCTTTTCGATAAGCAATGATTTTTCATCTATCGCAAGAACTTATTGATTCTCTGGTTTTCTAATATACTTTGTCATTAACAGTGTCATGTGTTCTGCATTAAGTCATTCTTTAAAAGCTGTATCGCTGGAAGTGTTCGATCATTATTAAGACAAATCAAATTATTGCACAAGAACTACTTTAAAATAAACAATCAACTTGATCGTTTTACCTTTAAAATAGCTAGAAAAGTGTCTGGATTTTTTCTCAGATTGTTGACAATATCATTCCCACTAATTACAATCATCAATTGTTTCGTTTTCTAGTTTTCATTTGACAAGTGTTTATATGGTTGCATATGATAATTACGCGAGAGACGAAAAAAAGACATTAGCTTCTTTAGCTAAAAAAAAGCAATTAAAGTTTTGTTAAATTATTTTTACTTACTTCATCCAGATGTATAAGCATAAATTTTATCCATAAACACGTACTTAGGTCGTACAAAAAGTTCCCATGATATTATAGCTGAGACATCTCTCTCTCGTAGTACAATAGAACAAATTATCCACAATTATCTCAAGATGAAAAAAAAGTTACATCTCGTTGGATACCCCATCAACTGAATGATGAACAAAAGCAAGAACGAGTTCGACTTTGTCGTGAAAATTTAGCAAAATTTCGTGATGGTTCCTGGCGATTATGTGATATTATTACAGGTGATGAGACGTGGATTTACCATAGGCAGATTCATCACAAGTCAACAAAAAGAACTTGGATTGGCGAAGGTGAATCACCACGTACTATCGTTCATCGACGCAAATTTGAACGAAAAAATTTATTTTCTATATTCTTTAAATCAAATGGTCCTGTTCTAATACATGCTGTTGATAGTGACGAGACTATAGATCACGACTACTATATATAGAAAATCGTCTCAAGCTTGTTGTCAAAGAAATACGGAAACAAAGAAAGTCAAATGGTACTAAAGGCATCAAATTGCTTCACGACAATGCTTCACCCCATCGTCATTCAGATGTTATTAATTATTTAACAGAAGAAGGTATCAATATAATACCACATCCACCATATTCACCTGACCTTGCACTCTATGATTATTGGCTAAATGATTACATCAAACAGAATTTAACTGAGAAACCAGATGAAAAATCATTGGCTCGTGCAGTTTCCTAGCTAATAAAAAATATTCCAGGAGAAGAATTTAAAAAAAACTTTTGACAAACCATTAGAGAGGATGGAACTTTATATAAATAATCATGGTGACTATTTTGAACATTTAATAAAATAAAACTCGAACTTTCTCTTTGTCTTTATATCTTTTTTAATAATCTGGGAAATTTTCGTACGATCTAAGTATGATAGAAATTTGAACCCATCCCCCGGTCTGTGATGGTTTCTGAAGTCTCTCCGTCATGGTATGTGATGGTTTCTGAAGTCTCTCTGTCATGGTCTGTGATGGTTTTTGAAGTCTGTGCAACGGCCTGCGATGGTCTCTACACTGTAAAAAAATCGTAGAATACTAAACCCTGGTACTAGAAAAAAATTCCGCTAAACCCTTTAAGGGTTTATATTTTTGTCCGGAACCATAAAAAGGTTTATTACTAGAAGCGTTTATGAAAGGAAGGGTATATGAAAATAAAAAAGGTTTATTCCAGTAGAATTTAAGTAGAAGGGTTTATTAATCGACGATGAAGGGTTCACTATTCTACGGTGAAAGGTTTATTAATAAACACTTGTATGGAAGGGTTTTTTATCCTACGTCCAACGGTTTATTATTATACGTTTCTACGAAAAGGCTTTTTTATCCTACGTTCAAAGGTTTATTATTATACGTTTCTAAATTATTTATGGATTCAAATCGATTGCTGAAGCTGAGTGTTTTTTTTATATAATTTTTATATTGAAATATAGAAATATGAAAAATTGTTTGAACTATATTTCAAATGAGAAAATAATTTTTTGAGATGAATAGAAGAACAGGATGAAAGAGGAAAATGAAACTTTTATGAGTAAAAAATAATTTTAGTGAGTCAATGAAACAAATGAGTTAGGATTAGGAGTAGGGAAAATATAATGAATGGAATATTAATATCGTTTATTAATATAGGAAAAAAATTTGGATAAGAAAAAAAAAAGGATTTTATTTGGACAAGAAAAATGTAGATTTAAATATAGCAACGCGTTTCGAATATTTCTTCGTCAGGCTATGATTACTTAGAGTGACATACACTTCTTTATATACGACTTGACCTAATTGTCCTGATGACCATTTTACACTATTGCTTAATGGACGATTGTTCATTCATTAACGGGTCATCTTTTTCTTCTCAAAACATAGCGAGTAATATGGAAGGAACTTTCAATTCATTACGGCTATTAGTCAGATGTTCTGTTTTTTTTCTGCTGATTTCTCTTCATTGATGCCATGCCCTTCCTATCTAATTCAGAAAAATGAAGAATTACATTCAGCATCATCCCATATTATGACATTCAGACATCAAGCAAAAAAATGATCCTGTTAGTACTCGAAAGTTTTCTAAACTTCATTTCGATATTTGGTTCCAAACTGAGATTCTTCAATGAAATTGTTCACATATTGTAAGGAAATCGAAATCCAAGAAATGGGAGAGAAATAGAATTGAAAAAAATATGTATTCGATCTGAGTCTTTTTATTTTCATGACAACTGAGCTAAAACAATTTTCGTGCAGTTAAGTAAAGTATAACGTTTAATATTGTGAAAAATATTTTTATTTTAAAGATAATCAACATAAAGTTTCGTTCTATTGTATTCATGACAAGATTCATGTTTGAATATGAGACTATGCAAATTCGCATATTATTCAAAAGCATTATTTTCAATATTGTCTTTGTATTTTGTTTGCTTCGTTTACTGGAATAAGTGGATTACTTTACTTTGAAGTTCAATAAATGTTTCTCTTGAAAATTGCTTATTGAATAAGAAAAGAAAGCCAACCCAATATGATTAATCTTATCGAGTAAGAAGCACAAATCAATCGTAAAATATCAATAGTTCAGGAATGATTTTCGTTAGTGTAGATAGTTCTAAGTGGAATTAATTTATTCTAAGTGAAACGAATTCTTGTCGACTTTTATAGATCTCCATTCCTTTGTTTTATTTAAGGATGATGAATCTGTAGATTCTGATGAATAATTTTCAGAGAAATGTATTAGAGAAGAACAATGTTGCCTAACAGACCTTGCCATGATTATCATATCATGGCATAGAGACAGTAAATATAGACGGTTGATCGAGTTTTCCTTTGGTAGCGTTCTTCAGCTGTTCGTAGCAATAGAGAATTCTTCGTTGTTTTTTACACTGACCTTTTTCATTGGAGCCCTAATACGAAACGTTAGACGTGTGACAGAACGAGCCATCTATCTTTTCTAGATCAGTGAAAACGTTTTTCTTTTCATTGATCGTTCTTTAGTCGTTTTAAACTGAAAATTTTTGTGAGCAGACTTATTCATCGGAAACATATATTTTATTTTGATGAGAAATGGATTTTGTTTATTCATTTAGATGATCAGTGCCACATGGGCTTTAATCGACTCTGCAGAATGACTCTGATCATCAAAGATTTCTTTGATTTTATTGTTACTTAGGGCATACCAAAAGTAGTGGTGTTGGTATTATATGGACCCTATGGAACGCTCAAATCAAACTTTTCCCTATATGTACTTGTAGAGGGAACAGTGCTCTATATTTCTTCAATGATTCATAATTCACCAGTGTCTATTATTATATGAGAAAAATNAGAACTTTACTTATAGATGGCATGAAATTTTCTTCATATATACATATATTATGTTCAATATAGTCAATATAAAAAATTCTTTAACTTTTAGGTATTTCTTCAAATTCGTATTTCTAGAAAAATTTTAAAGTGCAAAATGAATTGGACTTGTGAACAAGTAATTGAATGGTGTAAATCATTCATTTGTGATGATTTTATAATATCTCAAATTCAAGGTCAGTTATTCTGTTTTCTTCCTATGTGTAAAGAATGAAAGATTTTTTTGTTTGAATGAAGTATCAGAAACTGATTCTCATGAATATACATTTTTGTGTAGATCAGAAAGTAATACGATGTGTGAATGTGGTTCAATACTACTTTTTACTTTAGTTTAGTATTGTTTCCTTTTTTACGCTTTTATTTTCTTGTGTAAGATAGGCATGTAAGAATAAGCGAAGCGAAGAAAAAGTAGAAGAAAGCAAAATTTATTGTTGTATCATTTTCTTTGTTGCTATAGTCTTTTTTGCCATAGTCGTTGTTGCCATTGTCGTTGCTGCCATTGTCGTTGCTGCCATTGTCTTTGTTGACTATTGTTAGCAATATAGTATATAGTTGTCGGTTGATGAACAGTTTCCAATTATATAGATATTTAAAAAAAATACATTATTTTCATATCTCGAATACCTTCTTATAATCTATATAATCTTGATATTTTCACGCTGATATTATTATGCCGTCATATTATTGCCCTCTTTGTCAAAACAATCGCGAGTTTACAACTTTTGCGAAAATTTTTCATCATATTACTATATTTCACCAAAATGAATCAAAATTCCACATGACCTGTGACCTACATAAATCATGTGGTATTTCTTATCGAACATATGCAGCTTACAAGCCTCATGTGTATCGTTATCACTCAAGCCTGTTGCATTCAACAAATGAAGAAAATTTTTATTTACTTACTACAAATAATACTCAACAGTTAAACATGGATCCTAATACCGACGTGAATATAATGAATGATAATGTAACAATTAATACAATTAATGAAGATGACGAAGATGATTTTTCAAGTGATAGTATTGAAGCTGATACATGTAATGATGATCAACAACAACAAGCAACAAATATTGATTCACAAAATCTATTCAAATCATCTTGTAACGAAGAAAGTAACATCTCATTTATATTTGATATTCAAAAATCATTTGCTTTATTTATTTTACAATTACGAGAAGAGTTTTATCTTCCAAAAAGTACTATCAATTCTATTTCTAATTATATTGTGACCTTGATCAACCACTTAGAACTTCTATTCAAACAGAAAACTATTAGAAACGACTTAGGTAATGCGAAGAATATTTCGTCGTCAAAAACAACCTCCGATTCAAATAATGATATTATTGAATTAAAAATTGTGAAGAGTACTATGAAAGAAGTGTGTCGTGCAGTTGAAGCTATTACTTACAACGAATATCAATTTATAAATTACTGTAAAAAATATATTTCAAGTATAATCCACCCGAGGAAGTAACGATATCAGCTCCCGGTGAGGATTTAAAATGTGGTTACTTTGTTCCTATTGATCAAACATTGACATCTATATTGCGAAATCAAGATACTGTTGATCAAATCTTCGATAGTATGAAAAAAAAAGAAGCTACAATTAAAGATGATGATTTAATGTTCCCATTTCGTGATGGAGATTATGGTTCTAGAATCGATGATGATAGTTTACTTATACAACTATATGTTGATGACATAGGTTTAACGAATCCCATTGGTGTTAAAAAGGATCGACACAACATGTTTATGGTGAATTTCTCACTGGAAGATTTTCCAGATCAATATCGCTCTCAATTAGAACAAATTTATTTAGTTGCAGTTTGTGAAGGTGGAATACTTAAGGTAATAGGACTTATGTTACGTATAGTCGACGAACATCGCTCTTTTTAATATCGTCAAATTTATGAAAAATACTTTTAATACCGATATATTGAACTCTCTTCAATGAAAATTTTTTTTTTCTCGGAAAATAGCATGACATTCGAATAAGTTTCTAATCATGAAAGTTTTCTTAAGGATAATGCCAAAGCTAAAAGCTGCTTCCAACTAATAATTGAAAATCTCAACCGTCTGCAAGTTGAAGGACTTTTTGTTAATGGCCAATGGATAAAATTTTCATTTTCTACAATGGTCGCCGATAACTTAGCGGCTCATCAGATTGGAGGCTTCCAGGCCAGTTTCAGCAATGGCCACTTTTGTCGACGTTGTCTCATAGGATATCCAGAAAGAAACTTACCAAGGTCAACATGTCGGATCCTCAGTGTCGGATTCCTATGAATTCCAACGAAAAACCGTTGGATGTCATCGGAACTTCATAGGATTCCGACTCTGAGGATCCGACATCGATTCATGGACCCGGAATCCGATAGAATTGTATCGGATTGTAGGATATTTCCAGGTTCCTATCGGATCAGTCGACTTGGGCGAAAAGATATGAAGAATCACAACGAAGTACAATGTTTGAAGCAACAACTTCAACAGCAGAAAAATCAAGTTGAGGAACTGAAACTTGAATTCAAACAGGAAATTCAACAACTGAAAGGTTCGATTCCTTTCATTGGAGTACATTGGCATCAATACTTCGTGAAAGTGCGAGAGATACTAGATATTCAACAATCTGTTTTAACTTTGAATAGTGCGAAAAGAAAGATCTTCTATCTTCTCTCGGTAAAATCTCGTTAAGTAGCAAAACTTGACAAGAGTAGATAAGGATTGATATTTCCGAATGTTGATGATTGTATGATTTATGTCCTTCCTTATATAGACGTAGAAAATGTATTTTCTCTGATTTTTCCCACTGAAATAGTAGATCAATTTTTTTATTTTGTAACTACACTTTTTCAAAGCAATTAGCATACAAGCCTCCACAAAGTTGTACACATAGGAGTTTCACAGGAGCCAAAGCAACAAATTTATGATACTAATACTGCAAACATGAAACATGCGCAACTTTCAAACAAATAGTACTGCTGTCATATATGCACGTGCTCGCAGGTATATCCATTATTAAGCGCTCCAAAAGCTCCCTCTTTTTAATATAATCAAGAATTTTGAGGAATAAGTCGAGTCAATAAGTTTTCTTCTCTTAGTTTGACATATTCGTGAACAATTCATGTAATTCTGTAGAAAAAAAACCTTTTTCTAACGTAAAATTACATCTTTCTTAAAGGAAATAGTGATTCATAAAATAAAATTCTACTGTCATTCCGAAAAAATTCCTATTTCAGTCGATTGAGCTTAGCCAGAGACGCTAAATCTGAAACTCCAGAGCAGTCCTGTAGAAACTTAATCCTCTACCAATATTCGAAAAAATTCAGTCAGAAAGGTAAAAACTGAGAGTGCTATCGTCAAAATTCAAAAATCCCATGGTTTATGGTCCAGCCGATTGGTCTCCTAAAACTGAACAAAAACGTGTTCAAACGAGAATAAATAAAAATTCATCACTTTTCTCTAAATTACTTTTTAGAAACGACGGAGCAGAAGTTAAAAAATCAGCAAGACACAATTGACCAACTACATGTAAAAAATGAATAAATGAAAGAGGAGTGTTTAAATGTAATAAAGAAGCAAATATAATTACACATGACGCAGGCAAATCTAAGAAACTTCTTTTTATCTACGAGAAGATTATTACTTTAACTCAGAACGTTAAAACCAGCTAAATAATATCGGGCTACGTTTTTATTTCCATATTTATTATCACTGCATTTTAAGGAGACGTTTGATAGTATGTACAGCAACACGCTCAAAATTGAAGAACATGGCCTTGTGGTTGTTCTTATTGACAAGGGTGAGCATAGCGCGGTTCGCGGAAGAAATTCATATTCTTCTGGTATTAATTGCATTAAATTTCAAATAGAAAAAAATATTAAATAATCAATGGATATCTTTTGGAATTTTATCACAATCAACACCAATGGCACCGAAGTCATATGATTCGCCATCTTTCTATGGCTGGGGACAATGCACCACTCAAACGTTTTTGAAGGGTTCAAACCAAAAAGGTTATGCTGGCTATGACGGTGATATTAAAGAAAATGATCTTATTGAATTAATCATAAATTCTGAAATAAGCAATATTAAGTTAATTAACCACCGCTCGACAAAGCGTTATCAAATACCAATTGATCCAAGCAAGAGTCCATTCCCTTGGAAGTTGTCTGTTAACCTTGTTAATATAAACGATCGTGTATGCATCGCAAGATAAACTATGATAAAACAGTAACCAATGCATAGCAAATATTTAATGAAAAGATATATTTATTTCTAAATAGTTATTTTTGATGCGAAACAGTTTGACGCTAAACCGGAGGCAAAGATTTGGGGCTGGATATGCACAGCACAGCGTCATCTATGAGAATTCATAAAAAAGGGGTGAGTATGAGTAAAACATGTCAAGACACAGATTTCGTGTTTGCTAAAGGACTTCTCACTTGGCTTGAAGAGAAACAAAGGACACAGCGACGCGACTCTGGTTCTTGAGGATATGGGTGTTTGCATGTGTGGGCCTGGTGCGACTGTGCACGCGAATGTAGATCAAAAGAAAAATGAAACCCACCCTCACACACACTCTCTATATTCTAAGCTTCCAGAACTTTAATACAAAGCAGAATATAAATTCAGTGATATAATGTAGTATTGTTACACCAAACTCAAGAGCATCAGTCTCTCTCTTGATTAGATTATTTGATTTTGATTATTAATAAAGTCGAAATATTTAACTACGAACTAGCTCTACATATTGAAAAACAAATTCTAGATAAAATAATTTTCGTGTAAATTTTCATCTAAAGTAGCGGAAAAAAGTTTAAGAACAAGAAATTTTACTCTTATACTCTTTCATGATAAAACCTATAGACTTTCTAATAATTGGTATGAGTAGCAATGACACATAATTACCCAAGAAATATGAAAACATTTCAATAGTGTTCGTTCTTATTGTGCAGTAAATAGTTTATTTTTTCATCAGCAGAAAAAAGTTTAAGAACAAAAATACATGTCTATCGTGTTCGTGGTAAATAAACGTTTGTTAGGACTCGTAACCACTATCGAAGTTGATACTAAATAATTTCGCTCTATTTTATAAAAATTTATTTGTGATATATGGGGGGGAAAAGCTATTGATATATATATTCGGGCTCAGGTGGTTGCTCTATATAATAACGGCAAAATTTCTATGTCAATGGATGAAGTGGTCAAACAATTGAACATTTCCAAGTGTTGTGTCTTTAACGTCATCAAGAAACACAGTGAAACATGTGAATACGTCGACAAAAAGCGTTCTGGACGACCGAAAAGGCTCGGAGAGCGTGACCAACGATATCTGAAAAGGCTTGTGAAGGGTGAAAACAGACTTTCAGTGAGCAAGATCACGAGAGATTTGAATCAATCTATACTTGAACTCATCAGCTCAAGAAACAGTCTTCAATTACCTGAAGAAATTAGGTTATGAATACAAGGTGAAATTGAAGAAACAGTGTCTCAGTTCAAAGGATCGTGAGCAACGAGTGGCCTGGTGCAAGAAGTACGCTCATTTCAGCAAGCACGATTGTAGAAATGTAATATTCTCTGATGAATCAACGTTCTATGTTCTTGAAAGAAAGAATCAAGTGAAAATATGGCGAACGGATGAAGAGCGGATTCATCCAGATTGTATTCAACAAGTAAATACAGGTAGAGGAGGAAAGTTGGGCATCTGGGATGGTATTTCTGGTCGAGGAGCAACTGAAGCAAGAATTTTCAATGAAAACATGAATGGAAGTGTATATTGTGAAGTTTTAAGCAATGAATTAAAACGATCAATGAACAAATTCCAAGACAAGGTCAGATTAATTTTCCAGCAGGATTTAGCACCGTGGCATATATCCCATATAGTGACTACAAAAATGAAGCAAATGAAACTCAATGTTTTGGATTGACCTGCCAAGAGTCCTGACCTTAATCCCATCGAAATGGCTTGGAGTATTCTCGATAAAAAAATTGATGGCAACGCCTATTTACAATAAAGCTACTCTTCGTCAACGACTTGAAGCAGAATGGAAGGATCTTGGTATTGAATTATGTCGTAGCCTGGTGGATTCAATGCCGGAAAGATTAGAAAAGTGTTTGAGGGCCAAGGGTGGACACTTTACTTAGTTTTTATCTTTTGTTTTGGAAATAAAACGTACATATGTATTTTTGTTCTTAAACTTTTTTTTGCTGATGAAAAAATAAACTACTTACTGCACAATAAGAACGAACACTATTGAAATGTTTTCATATTTCTTGGGTAATTATGTGTCATTGCTACTCATACCAATCATTAGAAAGTCTATAGGTTTTATCATGAAAGAGTATAAGAGTAAAATTTCTTGTTCTTAAACTTTTTCCCGCTACTTTATACTACTTATTAGGTAGTGGCACTATATGCGACCATTACCTTTCTGTTTGTTCTCATATTTATCTCTTGGTCCAGAGATCTAAGTGAAGTCGTAATGAAAGAGAAGTCAGAGTTGTTGAATTGATTCTAGTTGGTGTTGGTTTGAAGACAAAGAGTTAGAAAGCGTAACTATCTAACAGAACTGATAGAGCTTTACGATAAACCATAAAATGGTTTATTCGAGCTTTCTATAAAAAGTCAAATCAGTGACGCAAAATCAGTTAATATGAAAACGAGTGTATTGAAAATGTGTCGTTCTAAAGCACTGCAATGTTAACCGGATATAATTCCATAGTTAATCGTTCGAACAACTGTTTTCACAAGATTTTGAATTGTAACCAGCCATATTGACATGAGTAATAAGATAAAATTAAATTAATCCTCGTCTTTTGAACCTGATTCATGATAGATAGATTCTATTTTTAGTTTTGAATCAGTGAAACTAAACAATGGATTAATGTTTGTGTAAAATTTTTATGAGACTGATCAAGTACAAAACATCAATAGAATTCTTCGTCTTTTGCAATTCTGCCATAAAAATTATCGGCTCCTGCATCTTCTATCAGCTTGTCTTTTATTTTTCAGAAAAGGATACAGAAAACTAAAAAGCATGAGAGTAGTCAATATAATGAAAAGCAGACGTAGACACACGCATAAATATGTATGTAAATATCAACGAGAAGAAAGAATATATGCACATATAGATCAAGTAACAAAGTCATACCATTATTATTCCTACTTAACTTCATCAGAATCATCTTTTCATCGAAGCTTTGTTTCTACTACAGAACAAAATAGAGAAAATTAATAACTCTGATTCATTTTTATTGATTTATCTATTTTCAAAACCAAACAAAGATAGTATTGTCAGTAAAGCAAGAATCTACCGAATTTCCTAGTGTTTTATCATCACTACTTTTCGAAAGAATCTTAGTACAACTGAGTAGGCAACGATGATTTGATTTTGTTACTCGTAAATCTCTGATAGAACACAAACAAGCTTTCTTCTATGTGATATATATATATGCATATATATGGTGTTCAAAGTCATCGAATAGTTAGAGAAAACTAGTGATGATGCTCAGTATGATGCTGAGTATGATGCTGAGTATGATGCTGAGTATGACGCTTAGTATGATGCTGAGTATGGTGCTGAGTATGATGCTGAGTATGACGCTCAGTATGATGCTGAGTATGATGCTGAGTCTGATATGAACTTGGTCCGACCGATACAATTTGGTTTCTTTCAACACGAAATTCCCAATTTCGAACCGGTGATGTAACATTAGCAAATGGAGCGCTCACTACTAAATTTCCACATTGAATTTTCTCTATTATTGCAGCGGCTGTCCATGTTCCCATATTATAGGTTACTTCCTTTACTAAATCATATTCGTTTCTCCCAACAGTAATTGGGGTAGAAGTTAATGTAGGTCCTGATGGTTGAGACCGAAATACAGTACAGTGAATTATTGACCGTTGTGCATTGTAGATAACAGCTGAATAAACAATAGCTGGCGCACCCACAATTAAATTACCAGTAGATGGCGCACCCACAGTTAAATTACCAGTAGCTAACGCAATCGCAGCTGAAAGTCTGGATGTAAGAAATAAAGTAAAAATAGCAAAGTAAATCATCAACATTATCAATTTATATCTAAAAATGCGAAAAAATTCAAACATTCAGAAGCAGATTGATTAACTTGGTTTTATATCAAATATTACTAAATTTTCAATCAAAGAAGACGTGTCACAAAAAATGTTAACCTAATTCTATTGCCCTGAGAATCAACATTCATCCTTGGTCATTTTTTTCATATCGGGAATTGAAAGAAAAAACAAATGTAGATATCTTGGATTTTGGTCTCAGATGGAATTATAAAAGTCCGGAATTGTGTTTTCATCAGAAACAATTTCAAACACACATTGACCAACTCAGTTTTTGGGGTGATTTCAAATATGGCATTTTTTTTCAATTTAAATCTGGTATCTACTATTCAAAAGTCATCGAATACTGTTCAAAATTGCTCTAAAACACAGTAGATAATATAGATTAGTGACTTACTAGACATTGGGTTTGAACTTGAATATCGTATATATTAGAAAAGGAAAGTTGAATTACATATTTAGTCAAAAACATCTGACTGGTGTACACACCTATAAAGTGAAAGCTCCTAAAGTCAAACTAATCATTATTAGTGTAACTATATGACTCAATCAGATTGGTATTTGGCGATTATTGTTTCGGAAAACTTTGAATGATCTATTTCTTCATCTACGTAAATTAGTACAGAGAAAAACATTCTGCATCGATTGAATCTATGTTTCTGAATCAGACTTAGCTTTTGATGGACTATGCGCTCGAAAATTGGTCTGCAGAGCTTGCAGAAAGTGATTCAGATAGTGCTTATGGCCCGAAAAGTTTTTCAAAACAAAATATGATATCTTTAATCAACATATTAAACTAAATAATTTTCCTAAAGCGAAGAACAAACATTCTGTTTTCAATTAGTGATGAGAACCTTAGGTATGGAAAAAGCAATGTTGATGAAATATAAAATGAACATGTGAAAAATGCTTATGGGTGAATGCTAATCCTCAGTATAATAAAATTAGGTTAAGATATTTTGGGATGCTAGATTCGCATATGTCTTTTCTCAAATAACTTAGTTTTCAGCTTTTTATCGGTTAGAAGGAAAGTAGATTACGAAATTCTCTTTATTCCTAATATATCAAATTCATCCTCTGTATCGTTTAGACGTAAAATCAAAATGATATTAACATTCAATTTGGTCACTTGAACTGAATTATGTTTGAGATCAAAATATTTGGAAAGTAGTTTTATCTTAAAATTATTTGCATAACTCAACAACAGTATATTAATAATATTTCTGCATAAAAGTCAAGTATCGCTCAAAAGCACTGGTTTTTCTTTGATGAAAACATCTACACTAGAGTCATTCGATGTAATCTAAATGATACTAATATTCAAAATTGTAAATAAAAAACATCTACTTATACGATAGGTAATATGTAGAAGTAGTTTACTATCGCTTTTCACTCGTTCGTCTATAATGACTAAAAATCTATTTGACACTCTGAAATACAATTCTAGAAGATCATAATTTTCTATCCAACAATAAAACAAAATTTGAACTGCTCAAAATAAAAATAAAAGTTTTTATACACCTTAACTATAAAAGAAGCATCAAAACATGAAAAGTATTAATGAAAGATATGTATTTCAAATAGAAATATTTCATTTTCTTTATCTGAATTTCAAGTTAAAGAAAAACTGAAATGCATTCGATTCACTATTTAATTATATGAGAATATAAAGAACTTGTAAACTATGATCTAACTTTATTAACTTTTGTTAATTTCATGTTCTTCAGGGTAAATTAAGTAAACTTTCATAAAATTTTATCTCAATAATAATGCAATCAACACTATATTTATCATGCGTAGCAAACTGATCTATTTGAAAATCTTCAACTCTTTCATTATTATTATTATTTTCTTATTGTTGTTCTTCTAGTGTATTCAGGTAATCATAACAGTAACAACCATGAACATAAAAATGATAAGATCCATGCATCATGATTAATATCAACAGTAAATATTAGCCATGATTTTAATCGAAATACTTCACCACTTAAATTTTTTCATGTTGCTGTATATAAATATATTTCTTGATTGACGAGTTCATGTTATTTTCGAACCATTGCTGTTAACATAAATAGCAAACAATTAAAGGTATTTATACTGAAAATATATACTGAAACATTAATTGCTGTTTTTTAACAATAAGAAACAACTAAATTTCCGTAGTGAAGAAAGAAACCATTAGAAAATGTATTTATAATATTTGAGAGGGTGTGGATGTGGACATGGCTAGTATCGTTCTCTGCTAGTCGATACGCACACATACCGAATGACAAACAGGGGATGATAACTCAATTTCGGAGAGAGTTGGAATTGCGTGTAATTCCATACAGGTCCTGTTCGTCAGAATTCCTGAAATTCCAGAAATTTGATGGAATGGGTTCTGTGCGTGGGACCGGTTTCGCAATGTTTACCATCGCGCCAAATGATGTATTTTCGCTAGATTGAAAGTGATATTGATTACCAGGAAATTTGTTGTCGTATCATTAAGAACAAAGTGCCAAGCGAAACCCATGTTACTGTAGGTACAGGTTCGACAAGTGCCATTCGTAAATCTTCAACTTAATGGAATTAATGTGAGTCGTCATGAGGCAACAGGGTGGAATGGCTGAGATCGAAATTATCGTAGAATATTTGACTTGCAAATGTTGACAACATCATAGATACAAGCAGCAGAATCAAGATGCGCTTTGTTTTTTCTCTCAATCATACAGAAATGAATTTCGCTGAAAATTCATCAGAAAAAGGGAAGTGAAAGCATTTTTGGGATTGCATGAACAAATGTGATTGTTGAACTTTATATTATCAACTCGGGTTGTCTTAGATGACATGAAAGTGTCGCAAAACTATAACGAAAGTAAAAGAACTGAGTGACAGTTCTTATTTTGTTTAGGATACAAGTTGAATCATCCAGACCAACCAATCTGCCAGAAGTGTAGCCGTCACAAAGTATGTCTTCATTATACAGCAGAATATCACATGTCTATAAGATTTAATCTATAAACTTACCTTCTACAAATCTACCGCGAAATGCTTGTAACAAGAATGCCAACAATGGTAACCATGCATAAAGCAAACGACCATGTAATACCATTTGCGAATCAACAGTTTCGATTTGGGTGAATTGAAAATTGTTGAAAAGTGCTTTGAACATGAAAAAAATCGGAGGATTTATTATGCTTCATAAATCTGGCGCAGAGAGGGGGAGCGTATATTGAATAAACAATCGAATGTGATCGCGTAACAGCTTGTGACCATTAAGCTGCAGCATTATAGGCCAGGCAGATGTCACACATTTGTGTATCATGAATAGTTATTGGTTTGAAAAATCGACGTGGCATTTTAAATTAATCTCGAAATAGATTTAATAGCATCCCACGTTGTTGCCAAATATTTTGTTTCTGAGAACTATAAAATTTCCAGAATGTCATTCATCATTCCTTCAAGGTCGCCGCCTCCAGAAAAAACTTTTTTTTTGTGAAACATCTTAAAAGCAAGATCGTAATCATAGTGAAAGTCGTAGAAAAATGTATAATTTCAGATCTTAAAATTTTTGCTACAACATAAACACATTCACATTATTTGTCTATCAAGATCTGCAATAAGATCTTAGACACAGATTTGTAAAACTTTGGTAACACGTATCATAGACCTTCAGTTTGTTTTTGTTTGCTTTTTATGAGTTTTATTATACTAGCATTTCATACAGATAATTATATGCGTAGTTTGTCAAAAGAGATTTTTTTAAATTAAGCATGCAGCGATTTAAAAGTGCGTATAGCATGTGAAAATCTTAAAGATGTTTAAAACTATCAATAGTTACTAAAACTATTATATACTTATGTAAAATCATGTACGTGGATTGGAAATTATCTCCCAAAAAAAATATAATATTTTAAATTAAACAAACAGTTTTTTTGTTTTTTTTAAAGAATTACATATCTACTAATTAAATTAGTTTACAGCTCTATGTAATCTTTATTATAGCAATTTAATATTTTTCATATTTATTAAAAGATTAAATAGTCTATTAAAAATAGTACATCTATTTCTAGCATCATAGTATTGTTCAGTTACTTCTTGTTATTCTTTCTAATTCTGATCTCTAACTGTTCTTTTTTTAATCCTGCTCAAACCATATATGATAAGCAATTTAAGATTTTGTTTCAATAAATATTAAGGTATTCCTGTAGGTATTTAAAATTACATATCTCTTCAGAACTATCTCTATCTATTAAAAAAAGAGAGGAAAACGGTGAAATAATAAACACTATGTAAAACTTTTATCTAGAACCATATACGTATATGCATAGTAAAATTATCTCTCACAAAAAAAGATTTGCTTCAATGATGCAAAAAGTTTATTTATTTATTTATCTTTAAATCTGTCTATCTATTCAAATTTGCGTATAACTATTTAATTTTTGGAATAGTTTTTATAAGATAAATATTGTTATTAAATAAAATACAGTTATTTCTTGCAAAATAAATTAAAATTTTTTAAACATTTTATCGAAATATGTTTTTTAAATCTATTATGCAAAATAATTTAATGTGAAACTAAAAAAGAAAAAATTCATTTGATGTTTACGATAAAACTTTTCAAGTCCTTATCTATGTACATTTCTATATAAATACGTATATCTGATATACTATATACTTATTTTAAATTACAATATATTACACAGTTTTTTTTATCTACAATGAATAACCATTTTTCTTCAAATAAAGATATCAGACATACATCAATCACAATTGTTATTACGATATATTAAAAAGTAAAAACTGTTTGAATACGATCAAGAATCTAATCTTATACCATTCTTCTTTAGATTGAGAGTTCAAGGCTTTACTAATCTAAATCATTTTTGTTTTAGACAAGGCCTTTTATTATATAATAGTAAATATAATACAATAAAACGGCTGGAACAAACGAAAAGAAAACAACGAAGAGACGCATGACTACTGTCTTTTGCCTC